AACGACTCGTACGTCCGGGTGCCGTACACTATGCCATCGGCTATATAGCTAAACACACTATCCAGGTCAACGTCGTCAATGGCCACACACCTTATACGGCGATCCCGACAGGTGCAGGGTGCAATTTCCTCTTTTGGTATGTCTTCGCAATACTGTGTAACCCCATTGACCAGGGTCACGATCGACAGAAGTATAACTGTAGCAATATAATTATAATTGATTATAAATTTATATTTTATGTAAGATTTGTTATTGTATTGTAAAAGGTTTTAAAAGTAATTTTGTTATCAATGATTAATTATAATACCTATATTAGTTTTCATATTTTTAGTAATTAAGTAGTTACAACTAAATAAAACAATTAATTTATAATAATTATAGTAAGAGAAAATTATTATATAGGTAAGTTTAGGCAAGGTCAAGTTAAAATAATTAACATCTAATAAATAAGTTATCATATGATTACTTAACAATTCTAGGAACTTACTATCATAGCCATTTATGCATTTCAATTTGAAATTGATTAATTATCAATTAATAACACCTAACTCAATAGATAATGAATATTAACTTTTTGTGTAATTTATAATGGTTACTATTTTTTATTTACAAATTTACAAATAAAAATCATTAAAATATTAAAATCCTTTAATAAATTTCGAATTACTCTATATTTTAAAATGAATTATATATAATTTAATTAAAAATATTTATATAAACTATCAAAAATTGTAGTAATCATAATAAAGCCATTATCAATACTTACAAAAATTTCCACTTTAATATTTGATATTAAAAATAATAAGTGATAGGTACTCTATCTTGACTTAATCCATAATTTTAAGACTTGATACATACTTGTTAATGGCACTGTGCACAATGTATGCACCGGCCCTTTCAATTGAAAAATAGGTTTCTTAATAATCTAGTAATTATCATCTTAATAATTAAAGTATTTTCCAAAATAATCATCTCTAATTTTCATCTATTTTAATTTAATATAATCTTTATAGTGCGAAAAATCATTTAAAATTAATAATAAATGTTATTTTATGTTTTGAAATTACTGATTAATTCTGCCAATTTTATATTCAAAATGTTTATTATACATAAATAATTAATTAAAAATATAAAAAGTTAAATTATATTCGCTATTTAAATTTTAATTAACAGCTAGCCACGATTATCATTAAAAAAATATTTAGCTCGTTAAAGCAATTAATTTGTACTTTGTGCAAGGTTAAGATAAATGATCGTTATAATTTCTTAATTAATACTCAAAAACACTTAATGCATTTCAAACTAAATATCTAAAAACAACCAGTTATCTAACACAATAATAACTATTCATAATAGATTTTCTTTAGATTAAAAGTGCATGGCACGTACTTATTAAAGTGCATTTATATTTGAAAACAAATTTTTTTATATAACTTTAACTCGGAAAAATATTAAATAATAAATGCTCAATGCACTAAATATAGATATAGATAATACAAAATTAGCTTTAAGAGCATTAAATTATAACTAGTACAAAATCTAAATTAAAATTTAATAAACCAACAATTCTGTATAAATAAAAATATCCATGGGTACACAAATAATATATTAAATATTTACAAATACAGGTATATACATAAATTATAAACAGAATACTAGTAACAGTAATATTATAATATTATAGGCTTTATAATTAATAAAGTAATATTAAATGATATAGTTGCTAATTTTTATTATTATTTAAAATATAGATTATTAATATAATGTTATTTTAAAATTTAAACTATTTAATGTAAAATTATATTTACTTTTAAAAATCTTTAATTAAAACACAATCATATAAGAATTTTATTTTAAATTAAAATATTAATGAAATTAATTAATTTTATTGTTTATATTGGAGGGTCCTTGCTCATTTCATCTAACGTATGGTCGAGTATAGGGTGACCATCCACACCCATTGCATGTAGCAGTCTATGGTTCAAATCCAGAGCCACTTTGTCCTCAACCAACCACTTATTTTTGAGGTCCACTTCCATGAGATCTCCAATCATATCAATAGTATTATTCTTATTTGCCATAAAATATGATTTAAACACCACTTCATCCAGGTAACTTAGCTTTGTATTACCACCCAATTTAATACTGTTGGACACATCAGTCGCGGTTAAATCCCTGCCAAATGACGTCCCTATTAAGTGATTGCCCATCAGATTAATGACCAAGCTATCGGTGATTGGGTCCGTTATGTTAAAAGCACCGGTAGCTATATTAATTAACATATTTTGCGACAGGTCCAATTTACTCAACGCTAGTAATAAATAGTAAAAATTCAAATTTTATAAATCAATTTAAATTTTATACAAACATTTATTTGTAATAAACTGTATTTAATTAAATAATTATAAAAATAATAATATATGCTAACTAATTGTATGTTAGTGTTATAAGAGAAAATTAAATATTTTATACAATTAATAATTACAGCTAGTAGAATTTACCTCTAAGTTTTGTAAATGCCTGTTTACCAACAAGACCAATTTTGCCACCTGGACTACCGGCGCTAAAACTAATGGATGTTAAGTTTAGTTGATCACCAATTTTATTGGTGAATGCATTATCAGGTATAGTAATTATTTGACTGCCTATTATTGTAATGTCCCGCACAGATATCAGGGTACTTAACGCACCAAACAGGTCACAGTCTCTACTTTTTTGGGCACTAAATAAAAATTAATAATGAATTAACTTTAAATATAAAAGTTATAATATAAACAAGTAAATTTTTAAAAGTAATTTTCATTAGTAATGGCTTAATGACCAGAGGTTTGCTAATCTAAAAACTTTTAAATATTAAACACTTTAATTATTATAATATTACAGTTGCTAACAATTATATACAATTATAAACAATAAATTATTTCATTTGTAATACACTTAACATTAGTAATTACACATGTTACTAACTTTTGGGACTCACCCATTATAAACCATTAAAAATACACGCTTACCCTAAATGTGTGAGGGTGGCCTCAAAAGTCTCGACACTCTCCTCCTGTCCCCCGAAAGCCATGGGACTGACACACTGTAGCTTTGAGCACCCAGTTAGCTTGATGTTTTTGAACATAACCCCCCGAAACATCAATGACTCCAGTTTCTCGATGACACTACTTTCCAACTCAAACGTCTCGTAATACCGGTGCTGTTTGCCGTTCAGTAGGGTTTGAAATATTGGACCCATGTCAAATGGCTGTACGGCCAGACACTTAATTGTTTTGCCATCGCATGTACATGGTGATATTTCACTAGGGTCATCTGGGCAGTACTCACCATTTACCGCACAGGTAGTAAATAACAGTATCAGGGCTAATTTATTGAGTATCATATTAGTTTATTATTGTAATATTAAATATTTTGATGTAAAACTTACCTGTTATTTGTTTAATAGTTAACATTGTGTTTGTTTTTAGTAAATAGGTCACTAATACATAACTAGTCTATTTATATAGTAAATGTAGATATAATGTTAAAAATATCTATGTTTCCAAGTAATACCTTTTCAGTAGAGTATTTAAATCGATATTGATTTCAGGGAATAAAATATTATTATCAATATATTAATACAACTGCAATAAATATCGTATCAAGCAAAAATTATCACTTTTTTGTAATACCGTATAGATTTGTGACAGGTTATGGGGTTTATGGGTGGATACGGATGTAGTAGTGGTGATAAAATGGCAGACAACCTGTCATCAATAGTCTTATCGAAACTCTAAGGTTTCGACTATCTTTGAGTGGGTTATTGGTGGTAAGTATGGGAACTGGTGGTCATCATTGGGCTCAGTGTTGGTATATTGCACTCACTTTTCACTGATTGTCACTCCATTTGATCCAAAGTAAGTGTTTATAGTAGTAGTGAGCGATTGGGATATAATATAATAAAGTACTTTATATGGTATACATTCGCATACAATGTGTTTATAATGGAAAACACAAACAAAATTTAACATTATGTCTATGTAAACGGATAAATTAATTTAACCCC